ACAGCGAGCCGCCGGGGGAGGGCAGCGCCAGCGACTGGACGCTGCTGTTGGAGCTGTCGCTGTAGAGCGACACGGGGCTCGTCCGGCTCGGGGACCCCCCCGCGGGGCCGATGTAGGAGATGACCCCCCCTGGGGAGAGGGAGAGGGATAGGAGGCGTCAGTCACAAGCCTGCTTCAGCTCAGGCGGGGAGCTGCGTCAGCATGCGTAGTCTGCAAAGCAACAAGTAAGGGCTTATTCTGAACAAAATATAGGTTTATTATTAATAGAATTCTCCTGCAGGTTTTGACGTCACCCCTCTCCACTTTGCACTTCCTGAGTGTCCTCTCTGCCCCTCCTGCCTCCTCCCCTCTCCCAGCTTTTGATCTTCTGTGCTGTTTCATCTTTGCTGCCTGCCCTGTCTTTCTCACACCCGAAGAAGGCTCCACGGCCGAAACGTTGTGTTTCCTCTCTTCTCTTTTCAGCCTGGAATAAACCTTTACTTGTTCCTTTACAAGCCTGCTTGTGTTGCCTCGTTCTGAATCACAGAATATAGCGCCGTGCATCCCTGGAGACTGAATCTCTTTCGTGATGGAAATCGGAGGTTTTTACTTTCACTGTGGTCTGAAATGAACTCAGTCCTGTTGATTCTTTTTAACCCCCAACACATGAAAACAGCCTTGCAGTTCCCCTTTACTGCAATAGTGCCCCCTGCTGGAGGCTGCAGAAGAGACGCCAAACCTGGCTGGGCACTAGGGCAGCCAGGCACTAGGACAGCTTTCAGTGCTGCTTGTCGCTGCTGGGGACCATGCTGGGTTCGGACAAAAGCCAGAACCGTGCCTGGGGTGAGAAGGCAGGTCTCTCCCAGCCCCCTCTTGTGGGTTCTCAGAACCACGCTGCGCTGCCGCACACGGTCTGCGCAGACCTCTGCGCAGGGGACCGGGTGACATCATGCAGCAGCTGTTGTGAAAACGCTCATCTGCGCAGATCAGCAGGAGTTCCACCACACCAGAACTCTCCTTCACCAGCAGCTGACTGTTCTGCGATGGTTCTCTGGTAAAAAACGTTCCTTAAATGTAGAGAATAAGCTCACTATAAGCTTGTAGACGTATAAGATTGATATTTCGTTTTTAGATTGGTAAACGTTAATAATAGTTTGTCCATTTGTCCTATCCAGCTGTTTTCATGCTTTTAGTTATTGATTCCACATCATATTGTATTATATTAATTATATTATTTAACTGAACTTTAAAATGAATATGGTGCAAAGTGACAGAGTGGGCGGTGTTATAAACTAGTCTAGGTTTATATAAATCACAGGGCATTGAGGTTTGTGCACAAGGAAACACAGGGACACGTTGTCTACAGCCTCTCCAGCGTCAGGACTGGACAGGCGGTGGACTTTCCCTGCACTGCTGACAAAATCGCCGAGGGGACTGTGTAGCAGCACCAGGGCCACGACACCACCCATCAGGAGTGTCCTGGGCTGCGCGGAGCTCCTCTCGGTCCCGGGTCACGTGGCTCGGGGACGCGGCGAGGAGCGACACGTGGCTTAACGGTGGGGTTGATACCGGAGACGGACAGCCTCGGCTGTGCTTACTAACACGTCAGGGTTTCAGAAATCCCCTGCGCACACTGTGAAGCCTGCGGTGAACCGCTCGCACGGGCAGACACACCGTGTTTCGGACGGGTCCCGCTGTTGGATAAACCTGCCGGACTTGCAGAATATCACAACAGTGAAAACCCCTGCTGCCCCCGGAGATATTCCACTGTATTTACACTGTGTGAAGCGAAACTGATTATTCAGCACTGGACCTTGTTTTTCTTTCAAATTACAACAACACCACTGCCTGCTGCCAACTTTTTAATCACAAGTACACCATAAGAGGGTCATATGACTGCAGAGCCACCATAAATATTTGCGTTTTTACCTGCAGATTGCCACTACCCACTAATCACTAACAGATCCATGGATCTACGCCCTTGGCACTGCTTTGAAAACAGGTTATAAAACTGCACAGAGGAACGAAAACACCAGCCCCTGCCTCTCACCCCAGCCCTCACTAACATAGTCCGACTGTTTTTTTTCATGAACTGCTTGTTATTCTTCTGTCCGAGCTCTGAGGTTTTATATGTAAGATATCTAATAGGGTGGATATTTTGAGCAATCAACTGCAAAAGCCCATAATTCCTACATGTATAAAGCTAAATAAGAAAATAATTCGGTTAACCGTTCAATTAACTATTGATCTGAATGCAGGCCTACTGCCTTGTCTACAAAAAAAAATAGATTTTGTTTTTCTCAGTTTCACGTTTTATTTTTACATCCTCGTGTTCTAACAATTCATCCCAAGAACACCGGCAGCGCGATTGGAGGCGGTATTGTGAGTGGAGACCGGGCGTCGTGTTTTCTCCTCTCTCCTTCGTCGCTCGTGTCTGTGGTCTCCGGCTGTGTCGCGCGCGGTGCCCACGGGCGCATTGCGTAATCCCCGGCTCGGGGAACAAAATGTCAAAGGGTCACTGTGTCAGGTGGAACCGCCGCGTCCACACGTGCGTCCTGCTTGCCGGCCACTGGCCCTGCAGAACGGCGTCACGCCCGCCTGATCCCGGGAGCAGGCAGGGAGCCCTACAGAGGATTTTACTTTGCTGTAAATTTGTATTATATATAATTTGTGTATTATAAGTTTGAAATACACTATGCACGTATGACGTACGCCTGTGTAAGTGCGCATGCCCTAAAGACCGCCTAGTTGTCTGCTTTCTGGTGCCATTATAGAACAGCTTGGCAATAAAGGCTTGGTTACCAGGCAACAGGTTTCTCTGTGAGACTTTTCACCTGATTTAAATACACTAAAAGTCTACTGAGGGGAGCAAAGGCGCAATGCCACGTGATGCCAAATGCCCCCCCACCCTTTTGTTTTTGAGGCACCCCCGTGCTGTTGCCACGCTCGGCCAAAGGGCCGGAGAAAGGGGTCACCACAGCCCGCGTGCGTGGGAGCTGCAGTGTGAATCAGCTGGAGTCACACCCCCGCTCCACGTGCGCCACCACACCACAGGCTCCTCAACGAGACCGCCCCCTCCTTCCCGCACACATTGACACAGCTCTCGTCTGAGATCAGCC